TTCTTTGATTTGAAGCTTAATTGAGATATAATTTAGTAGCACGCACCTGAATTTTTGTGTGTACAGTTCATTGACTCAACACATTTAGAGTATACAGTCATTGCCATAATCAATTTTTGAAGGTTTCATTACTCCATAAAGTACCCACTGTATCCATTAACAGTTGCTTGCTATTTCCACTCCCTTTGCTTTGGCACCCGCTAATCGGCTTTCCACCTCTTCTGAACTCGGACAATACATGGCCTGATGTTTATAATTTCTTTTACTTGGTTTAGTGCTTTTTAGGTTTATCCATCATAGCATGTATCAATTCTTCATTTTTACTGGGAAATAATTTATCAGGATACATGTATAGCAGAATTTATGTTTACATCCAACAGTGAACATTCGTATGCATTTTTTTTGGTAAACATTTTTCATAAAATATAGCTCTTGTGTTTAACTTTTCAGGAAATGGTTTTATTTTTTGGCCTCTTAAACATTGTTCAGGGCCTCAGCGGCCAATGCCCCCAGTGCCCATTTTGGCAGAACTGGAACCCACTAGACCTACCCTTGGTGGAGCTCAGGTTCAGTGTCTGGGCTTTAACTCAGGACCCTTGCTTGTGCAAGGCACAGTCCCTATGCGCTGAAGTATTTCCTGACCCCCCCTCCCCAGGAAAACATTTTAATGGAACTCTTTATTCATTTAATTAAAGTATACCATAAAGACATAGCCAAACTGTTCGTACCATTTTGTTCATATTCTTGTGAATAACCTTAAATTAATGTTTCTGGGTATTGAACTCTTCAGTTTTTGTAGTTATTTCAAACATTTGAATGTTTTGGCTTTTCCAAATTCTTTCTCTTCATTGCCATAGCCAGTGGTATGCGTTCTTGTGAGAAAAACATTCCACCCTACCTTGTGAACAGTATTTTTTGTGATGTGTGCTTGTATTATAATATAAATCAACTTTTATGTAACTCATTTTTCAAAACAGACTTTAGTTTTATTTCTAAATGTAGAATTTTGACTGGAGAGATAGTATAGCAGGTAAAGTGCTTGCCTTGCATGCAGCTGACCTGGATTTGATCCCCAGCACCCCAATATGTTGCTTGAGCCCATCAGGAGTGGTCCTTGAGCACAGAGATAGAAGTAAAACCTGAATACAACCAGTGTGACCCCCCCCAACAAAAGTATTTTTATAACTATGTACTTGTTTTTCTAATAAGAGATTTATCTAGATTTACCAGCCTGACATGATAGCTACCTTTATTTTGCAAAATAATTCTATTTCAGACTGAGGAGGTAGCTCAAAGTACTCAATGAATTAGAGTGTCCCCTTAGCATGCTGGAGCTCTGGGTTCAATTCATTAGTACTGCATAGTTTTCCTGAGCATAACCAGCTGTGGCTTAAAAAAAAAAAATCAAATTTCAAAAACAGTACTCATTGCTAAATACTTGGAAAATACCCAAAAATTACACACAAAAAAAATTAAAAATATGCTGATTTTATTCCTAAAACTAAGACAACAGCCATTTTAAATATTTGATATTCCTTTATATTTTGATTATTTACATTTAAAAGAAATAAAATTATTTAAAATAGAATTCTTTTGTAAACATTAAATTTGATATTGCATTTTATCATGAAATATTTTCAAATATAATGTTAAATTTTTCTACGTTTTTTGATCACAATGCATTGTAGATTTGCTGTGTGATTACCTAGAATTTTCAGCACACTCTATATTGAAATACCTGTCTTTTTTTCTTTTGTATGTATGTATACATACATAGTTTACATGCGCATATTTTCTAAAGTGGTACTGTAACTGTGATTAATGTGTAATTTTATATTTGACTTTTCCATCAGTCAATAATTATTTATAATGCTTCTCAGAAACATTTATTTCCAGTTCCACTCTTGGTATACAACTCAGTTTAATTTTTAAAAACAGAATTGCTATATGTTGGTGCTATGTAGTATTACTGATTTTTCTCCAATTAACTTTTTTTACAAAGAAAGGAAAAAGTTTTGTTTTAAATACTTACAGATGAATAGTGTATTTCTATAGTAATTTCAATTTTTAATAAATGCAATCCAGAGATTTATTATTAATATTTGTTCATTCATCTTCACAACTGGAAACAGAAATGAGTTTATTCTGAATAATGTTCTTGATAATAATCTGGAACATCAGAAATCATTACTTTGTGTATAATGATCTGTCTTTAGAACACAGTATGTCCTAGATTGATGTGGGTCTTACACATTTTGCTTAATTACTAAGGGATTTTAAGTTCTTGCTAGGGACTGTTGTTCAATATTCCTAAGAAAAATACTCCTTAACAATACAACTTTCTATAGGACTTCTAACTATATTTACATTATATTTCCAAATATATAACTGCATAATATTAAAGGTAAAGGTAAAGGTCCTCCCGTTGTTCATCGATTTGCTCGAGCAGGCCCAGTAACGTCTCCATTGGAGTCTTTGCTGTTACTGTGTTTGGCATATCGAATACATCACAGGTAGCTTGCCAGGCTCTGCCGTGCGGGCGAGATACTCTCAGTAGCTTGCCGGGCTCTCCGAGAGGGGTGGAGGAATCGAACTCGGGTCGGCCATGTTGGCCGCGTGCAGGGCAAATGCCCTGCCACTGTGCTATGGATATTAATTTTTTTATTTAACCCTGAATGTTTTAGGCTTAATCAGTGAATTGCCCCTTTTTCTACTCCCAGAGACATGCTTTGTGAATTCACAATTACTACTTAAGAAAAATGAGTGGGGGCTGGAGCGATAGCACAGCTGGTAGGGCGTTTGCCTTGCATGCAACCAACATGGTCGATACAGGTTCAATTCCCAGCATCCCATCTGGTCCCCCGAGCACCGCCAAGAGTGATTCCTGAGTGCATGAGCCAGGAATAAACCCTGAGCATTGCCGGGTGTGACCCAAAAAGCAAAAAAAAAAAAAGAAAAATGAGTGCGTGTATGGTCAATATGGCACTAAGAATACAGAAGGCTAGAGCCAATAGTACAGTGAGTAAAGAATACAGAAGGCCAGAGCGATAGTACAGTGAGTAGGACATTTACCTTGCATGTAGTCAACCAGGGTTTAATCCCCCAGCATCTGCAGAAGTCTGTGTGATGAGCACAGTTTGGTATATAGTTAAAGCTTGATAAAAAAAATTGAACATGTAAACTGCTATCAGTAAGTTCATGAAGTTATTTTAGGTGAACTGTTATGTCCTCAGTGTTAACTTCTAATGCTTATTTGTATTTGATTATAAAACTATATATTACCAGGAAACCAAAGGATAGTTTCATTAGAATATATATTTTTGTACACATCCTTTCTTTTTTTTTTTTTGCGGGGTGGTCTGGGGGGCACACCTGGCAGTGTTCAGAACTAACTTCTGACTTGGTGCTCAGAGATCATTCCTGGCAGGATTGGGAGACCCTGTGGGATGCCAGGAATTGAACCCAGCTCAGCCACTTGTAAGGCAGACTCATGCCCACTGAAGGCCCCAATATGGCTCCTTCTTTTTTTTTTTTGTAAAAATTGGGGTTGGGGGCACACCAGACTGTATTTGGGAACTACTTCCAGCTCTGTGCTTAGGATTCACTGATGGTGCTTGGTGCACATACTTGGATGTACTCAGCCCGTTGAACTATCTTTTGACCCCATTTTATACTTCTGTGCAACTTTATGAGAATAGATTTTATTTTGAAACCATCGTTAAGATTAAAAAAATTTTGATTTTGTTCTAAGAAATTCGAATCTTCTCAAAGAGAGTCATACTGGCTCCTGAAATGTACCATTTATCTTGAAATAGTACCATTTAATTTTAAAGTGGTGTGGTTAAATAGAATTACTCTTTAGAGAGTATGTTTTGGAAACGTTGAGACTATGACTAAATATGTATATAAATTTGTAGTCATATGATTGAAAGAATTCTTCCAGTATTTTATATTTTTATGAAACTGCACATTTTATAAGGTAGACTTCATAAACATATACTTTTATAGTCAGTTTTTATTTTGCATAAGTAATACTGTGCTCTGAAGTAATTAAGTAGGTATACACATTAAGAATGATATCAAGAAAAGATCTTCTGAGCACATGCACACACAAAACTCTTGTTGAATATTTGTTAGGCTATTTTTGAGCTAGTTTGGGGACCCTTTTATTTATATAAGTACCAATTCATATTTACTTTTGCTATTCTCTTAAGAATATGCATGCATATCTTGACAGTTCTTTTTGAATTTAATAACTTTACATTAATAATGGGCTAGAGCGATAGCACAGCAGGCAGGGCGTTTGCCTTGCACGCAGCTGACCCGGCCAACCTGATTTCGATTCTTGCACTTTCAATTCCTCCGCCCCTCTCAGAGAGCCCAGCAAGGTATTGAGAGTATCTCACCCGCACAGCAAAGCCTGGCAAGCTCCTCGTGACGTATTCGATATGCCAAACACAGTAACAAGTCTCACAATGTTATTGGACCCGCTCGAGCAAGTAGATGAACAACAGAAGGATAGTGACAGTGACATTAATAATGCTGTTGATACCCAAAAGGAGAGAGAGAGAACACAGGGGATTGCCCTGCCACAGAGACAGGGGGGATGGGGGTGGGAGGGATATTATCCATGGTGGTGGAAAATGGGCACTGGTGGAGGGATGGGTATCTGATCATTGTATAATTGAAACCAAAGCACAAAAAATTGTAAATCTACAACTTAAAAAAAAATAAAATAAAATAAAGGGAAAAAAAAATAATGCTGTTGATGTGAAAAGTCCACTGGTTTTGTGTAACATTAGACAGTTTTGATCATATTTAATTTGGAATATTACAAAATGTTTAAACATTTCGTGGGAATATTAAAATCTTAACATTTAAGTACTTGGTCCTTACATTGCCCCTTAGCTGTTACGTACTAAGATACAGAAATATGTTTGAGTGACTGTAAGATAAGGAAATAGAGACAATATTTCTTATTATTTATTTGTATTTTGAAGACACCTAGCTGCTGGGCAGAAGAAGGATCAGAAAAGAGATCGCATCAACGTTCGGCATCATGGGGGAGTGCTGATCAACTCAAAGAGGTAAGTATTTATGTTTTCTATTATTCATATTAATCTTAGCAGATTATCTTATTAGTAGCATGGTTGACAAAATGCTATTTCCTTTACGTATACTAGCCTTACCTCTTTCAGAATTTAATTGTAGCCTTTTATATTTTGGTGAACAAGTCTGAGATTACCGTATTTGTGCCCATTATATCCTTTATTTTAAAGATTTATTGTGCACCCACTCAGCTTTTTTTGCCTTTTAGAGTGAAAGTATGATTTAGACACGAGTCTCTGTCATGTTGATTTTTATTCCCATTTTAGCTGTCTTCTGACTTACAGCACCGAGGACTGAGTTATTTTTACTGTATAATTATACAGATTAATTCTTCAATACAATTTCAATTTATAATTATAAATTATTGTTTTATATAGTGATAGTGATTTTTCTAGTAACTTTTAATATCTAATTTATTGTACAGTGTGTAATAATAGTAGTAGAAAACATGACTTTAGAAGTAGTTTTCAATTTTTTTAGGGTGGTAGAATTGAGGGCAAATAAGCAGTGCTCAGGGCACTCTAGTCTATTTCCATCAATACTTGGCTAACAGAGCCAGGTGATTCAGTGCTCAGACCCAGCAATGTGTACTGTCCAAGCCAACAGTGCTTGGGGGCCAGCAGTACCACTGCTGACAATGCTCAGGGCAATCAGAGCTATACCAGCTATGCTCGTAGGTGACCATGAAGTCCCATATTTTAAATAATGGGTCCTTCATATGAAAGCATCCTTGGCAACTAAGCTGCACCCCCCCACCCCCCGTACTATAAATGGTTTCCTTATTATGAAGAATCTGAATTGCCATATCTTTATATTTTGGATAAATGTTCCTGTTAATGTTGTCTGTTAACCATATGCATCCTTAACCTTCTTCTATAAAACTGCATCTTCTATAAAACTGCATCTAGGCCCTTTCCTATATAAACATTTCTTAAAAGTCGATCATTTGGACTCTTGAGTTTTCTGAGTGAGAGAATGTTAACATTCAACCAAACCATTAAATGGTTTAGCTTAAGTTGTTGCTTTTTCATATTGAACTCAGAATTATATATCTTAGTTTCAGTTCTGCTCTCTGTATCAATAGTTAATAATTCTCCTTTCAATATTTGAAAGCCTAGCAATATGTAATTACTCTCTAGGTAAATATTGATACTGCTCTCAAGTATTTTCCATATGCCATAGTTTTCATTTAGTATCATTTATATCTTCTTAAAATCTCAATTTTGTGCTTTCTGGACTAACTAGATGTGACATGTTAGCATGATATTTTTCTATGACTATTTACATTATAGAGATAGTCTTAAATATATATGCCAAAATCAGTTCTTTTCCCAATGTCAACAAGCAACAAAAAGAAGCCAAGTCAAATGTGTCTGGTATTAATTGTGTATAGACTATAAATAACAAAAAAGTAAATTAACAGTTTTATCTCAGAGGCAAATACAAGTTCAGAGTTATAGCTTAGATATGGTACAGTTGAACTTTGGATTACAGTAATACATGATACTATTAAAAAAGAACACTATTAAAAAAGAACAATGAACATGGCTGAATGGGAGATGTGATTGCTTTCCCTCATGAAGCAAACAAAAGGCTGCATAAAAACATTTAAAACAGTTGACTCTGTTCTTGGAAATCAATCAAATTGTGATGCTTTGTTCAAGAAAACTATTGAATTTAACTAAGAGTAACACAGGTTTCTGGTGTCCATCTGATCCTACTTCTCTTCCCCCTCTTCTCCATCCTCTGCTTTATTGGTGTGCATTCTAACCATAATGGGAAATCAGATGTCTTGAAAAATCAGAAGTCTTTTTGTCCCTTCTAGAGAGAGCAGTTGATTAAGAGTATTATATATTAAAATCATGATTGGAGTCGCAAAGTAATAGGACTAACAGTTTCTTAGTTCTGAGTCTGTGATCCAGTTAGGGGCAAGTTGTACACACTACAGCTTTAAAAGGGAGTTAATGGTTTGTAAGATAATCATGGGGCTCTGTAGAAGTTATAATGCATGTTCCATGTTGTCCAAAAGAACCATTCTGGGCATGTTTAGTCTCAGAGGAAGTGGACCCATGCCACCTCTGCATTACTGGCTAAGATGATGTGGAGAAGAGGCTTAAGAGAAATAGTATTTAAATCTTGGGCAAACATTTTAAAACTTTGAACATACTCGTCATTCCATACATAAATGCCATTCTGGAAACAAATCTTTACTACATTGATATGCTGAGTAAAATCTGAACAATTAACTGACCAGTAAGTGAATACTGGAGACTTATAAAAAGATATTAAAATTGAAACTTGAAAGAAAAAAATGGGAAAAATAACAAAATAGAGACATCAGTGACTACACATTGCTAAGAAAACAGATTTTAGTTAATTAAATAGATACTAAAACAGAAATAAAGGACAGTGGTGCTCAGAAAAAATGAGTTGCTACAATAATTTTAAATGTTGGCCATTCTTCATATATTTTACAAATATGCAAAGAAACAAAGTATGACTGATACTCATAAAAAAGCAGTCAATAGAAACAGTGTCTTATGTTTGATATTTTATTTATTTTTTATATTTATTTATTGAATCACTGTGGTAAAAGTTACAAAGCTTTCAAGATTACTTCTTAGTCATCAATGATCAAACACCTTTCTCTTCACCAGTACGTTTGATATTTTAGACAGAGAAACATTTAAAGATCTGTTAAGTATGCTTTAAAAACTAAAGAAAACCATGTTTAAAGCATTAAAGGGGAAAGTAGCGCCATAGTAATTCTGGAAATTGTAGTTATTGTAAAAGATAAAAATTCTAGAGCTAAGTGTAGTTACGCAAATTTAAAAATTACTAGATAGACTTGATAGATTTATAGATGGCAGAAGAATCAGTAACACTGAATATATACATCAATAAAATGTATTTATGCTGAAAAACAGTGGGGAAAAGAATAAGGTCAAAAAACCTTGTAGGCCTGCGGAAAAAACATGCAATATCCAGGAGAGAACAGAGGTTACAAAATTTTTTAAATTTTGAGGAAATAAACCAAACCTCAAATTTAATGAAGAACAATCTATAGATTTTAGACATTCAGCAAAATACAAGTAAGACCACATAAGTAAAGCTACACAGAGACATAATTAAGCTGTTAAAAGACAATCACGATCACAATCACCATCATCCTCTTGTTCATCGATTGCCTCGAGCAGGCATCACTAACGTCTCCTTCGTCCTAGCCCTGAGATTTTAAAGTGCCATATTCAAGGCTCTTTCAGGGTTAGGAGAATGAGACCCATCATTGTTACTGGTATTTGGCATATTGGGTACACCACAGGGAGTTTGCCAGACTCTGCCGTGTGGGCAGGTTACATTCGGTAGCCTGCCAGGTTGTCCAAAAAGTAAGAATGAGATAATAAGATGTCGCACGGCTGCGCACTTCCGGGAGCTGGGTCTTGTAGTCTCTAGCCGCTGATGGGATTACGCAGGGGGGGCGGGGGGTGTCGTCAGTTGGTCAGTAGGTGGGTGTGACCCGTGACCCCTGCCTACTGGAACATGGAGGATCTGGGTGGAGGATGCTCAGCCCTGATCGGAGCAGGCTTGGAGATCTCAGCCCCAGAACCCGCATTGCCTTTGTTCTTCTGCCAGTACCTTCAGGCGTGTGGAGAGTGGTCTCAGCATGGTCAGCATGGTTGTGGCTGGTTCTGGAGGTCTTCCATCTGCTGGAGATCTGCTCAGGGTGGGGAGGGAAACTCAACCCTCCCACCCCCAACGTGCCCTGGCGAGGACAGCCAGGTGCTGGGGCAGGAGACTCTGCCATGGATTGCCACTCAGTGCCTCTCTTGCAAAACACAGGACCCAAAAGAAGAGATAGAGAACAAGGGGGAATGCCCTGCCACAGAGGCAGGGTGGGATGGGGGGGATGGGGGGTAGGAGGGATGCTGGGACCCGTGGTGGTGGAGGATGGGCGCTGGTGGAGGGATGGGTACTTGATCATTGTATAACTGAAACCCAAGCACAAAAATTCGTAAGTCAATAACTGTACCTCATGGTGTCTCACTAATAAAAAAATCTAAAAAAAAGACAATGAGAAAAGAAAATACTGAAAGCTGGAAGAAGAAAATGATCCATTACACATATGGGGCCATCAGTATCTTTAATTGCTGAATTTCATCAGAAATAATAATCATAAGGCATTGACATATTCAGAGTACTTAAAAAAAAATCCTGTCACCATGTTTTTTGTATCCAGAAAATCTAGTTATCCAATATGAAGGTAAAATAGAGAATTTGCTGCTACTGAACTGCTATAAAAAATACCAAGGGAAGCCTTTTAAGCTGAAAGGTATTAATTGTGGATATTAATTTTAAAAAGGTTCTGCAGTGACAGTGGGAAGATCAACCCCCTAGTTTAGATAAATTAGGGTTTCGTCTTTAGCACTGCATGTGGTCCCACAAGCCTTATCAGGAATGATTCCTGAGCACAGAACTAAGAGTAAGACTGGAGCATTATTAGATATAACTCAAAAAAAAAAAAACCCAAAAAGAAAAGAAAAATTCTGCAGTGGTGAATAGGTGGGTATATATAAAAGCCAGTAGGTATTTGTTTAAATTTACTTAAAACATGAGATAATATAAAACAGTGTTAATAATAATATGGTTAGTCTAGAAAATATGTGCATAAATATAATAAAAGAGAGACAAGGAAAAGGATATTAATCATAGTTTTTATTTTTCTGGGCTTAAATATTTGGGGGTAGCTTGTTGATAAAATAAGGTGAATATTATAATCTAGTGCACTTGCTAAAAATAATAGAAGGCAAAGAATATTAGTATTAAAATGGGACTCTAAAGTATTTATAACAAAGAAAGCAGTAAAAGAGAAACAATTTTTTTAAGGTGTGACACGAAAAATTGAAAACAGGCAGAAGTAAATTCAGTCATATAAATAATTACCATAAATGTGAATAGATTGAACTTTTTGTAATTCAGA